CTGTATAACTTTTAGTAAAATGAAGGGAAGTGTCACCTAAATCGCATACAGTGTTGTGTATTACAGCAGACTTTTAAAGACGATTTAGCACACCATATGCCCCCACAAGCATGCAATACGCAAGAAGACAACTATTGTCTCCTCTCAGATAACCCGTTAATGAAAATTATTTATCGTGCGGGAATGGATGCGATATAGGCGTTGTAGTTTCGTAGTGGAGCTCTCGTCTACAGCTGTTGAAGTCGATCGAATAGCGTCCGACCAATAACAGTCAAGTGGATAATCAACAAATGGATACTGAAAGGGTTATTTCTGGCCTGATTCCCCTACCAGGCCCTATCGTCTGTGGACAGAAATTGCACGACCATAAGACTTGAAAGTGACACCGTATTGCAAATGGTACAGCGTTAAGTGCAAGGACCACCTGGATCAGGGTTCAACTAATGGGTCTACCAGTCTGCTGCCTGCCGACAGCAACAGGACAGAGAAGGTGAAAATACTTATTCACTACTTGAGACTGACGTTCGTCGAAACAATCTGAGTTGAGGCGGAAGGTGTGACTTAGCTACTATTCCTAGTAATATCCAAAGGTCAACCTAAGATATGAGAAAAGGGTATGTACTGTGTTGACAAGACTAAAGCACAGGATAGTTCATCTGCCGAACAGAGGCCAAAGTGCGTGGATGGTTCGCGCAGCATCAACAAAATTCTAACCCACCCCTCCACCGCACTTGTCACACCCTTACCGCGTCCCCGGTGCAAGACCTGGTCGAACTGACTGGGTATGGGATAGGATGTATTGAATGACCTGTAATACAACCTACATACAGTATATTACCTAACTCATCAAATTTCGTGATCGAAACCTAAGGCTGTTGAATTTATCTGAGGTTTAGAAAGTCTTTTACTAACGAAGAATGCATTTTAAATCTAATTTGTAGAAACAATTAAGGCCAGATTCGCACGAAATCAGACTTTCCCGATATCCGCGCTACTTAAGAGCACATATTACAAGCTCCTGATTTTGTGTTTTGTGCTATAAAAGAAAATTAATGAAAATAAGAATAAGTTTAAATACCCTCTAGAACCTGAAAATCCGATGAATGTATGAGATACCGCAGTATTTTGCAGATTTAACAGAAAGATTTAGCTTTAGAAATAAGCCTTTTCAATT